TTGTCTGTCTGACAAACAGGGAAAGTAACTTGATCTTTGACCTTGGCACTCCTCTGGGAACGTTACCGGACCATCCTCGAATTGGATCTAACAGACCCACTCTGTCTGGTCGTCATATGATGTCGGCAATATAGATCCAATGGGCTTGTGCTTGCTTTGCAAAACGTTGTAAGATTCCCGTGCCATTTTGCATCGGACCCTCCGTATAGACATCGCATCTTTGCACCCCCTAATCACGGCCGAACACAGCCTTTCTAACAGGGCTGGGTTGGTTTGAGTGTTTTCGTATCCGGAGCACGTTACATTCTGCTTGCCTACCAACATTACACCTGACCAGCCTATCCCATCCTCATCGAGTCGCACGAGGCTGGGGGCGGAATGCGGAATACGCTGAGCAGGACCTGCCTTGCATAATCAGGATCCATGGGCACATGCATGATTTATTTGGTTCCATTTGTCTCTCAACCACCTCCGCGAACGCGACGACGCGACAGTCCTCCACCTTGTCCAAGAAGAGATGATTGCAAAGCTATGAGCGGTGTTTGGAACCACCATATTTCGGTGATCCACAATAAGCAAGGCGATGCGATCTTCAACTTTGTTGCTCATTTCACAGCTGGATCGGAAGGCTGGTCACGAGTCTTTTGAATGGCACGGAAGCACGGAAGCACGGAAGCACGGCGTACGCAACGTGCTCATACTTACGGCTACGTGGTCATCTCAGGCGGTCAAGTACAACTAAATCACTCATCGTCACTAGCACACAAATGAGGCCACACGAACAGTCCCTGCTCGCCGTCGCCATCGCGATAGAACAGCTTGGTTGTCGAATCAAAGATCGGCTGTTTGCGACATTGTCTCTCTCAACCTATTATGCTTCGCCCTCGGTCATCAGTCTGACACCTGTACAGCACTCGTACCTACCGCGTCGCACATCACTCGCGCGCAGCGTAGTTGACTGCAAAGGACGATTATCATAAGAAGAGTTTTATTTTACAAAAGAACAGCGGCATCTTTATGATAGTATCTGGTAACAGCAGGCAACTGCGAAACACAAGCCAAATATGGCCGGAACGGAATCACCTGTCCGGGGGTTGCACTTCGGCGATGAAGACGATGTTGAAGGAAGAATTGCAATAACATCCCCGAGTCAAGAGGTCTGCTGTTGAGTATGTAAGTATGGAACTAATGTTCTACGCAACTGAACGTCGGTTTGCAACTTACTCTTAACATTTGGGATCCCCGCTCGTAGCGTCGAAATTGGTGCACAAACAATGCTGATGACCGTTGTCATAGCTGTCGGCTCCATTAGTAGGTGTTATCCCAAATTGAATTGAGGTTCATAACTTACTCCCGGGTTTTGTACGTGCGCAGCTCTCTCCTGTATGTCGTGTGTACTTGACACTGATCAATACACGCTTGCTCGTCGTTCTCGGTCACAGCCCACTGGTAGCCGAGCGCTGCAACACACCCATTGGCTCCCTTCGCAATATCAATTTCCGTAACGGTATGGCAGCATTTCGTGCCTATATTCCAGGCGTAGGTAACAGTAGGCAGGAGTGCAGTGAATGGCATCAGGGTTGAGAACTTCATGGTTTTGAGATTGGACTTAGAGTCAGTAGGCGTATGCTTGGGGTGGAGAGAGATAAATGCGAATGTTCGCTGCTTCCATTCTCATATTCACTAGTAACAGGCTATTTTCATCATCAAAGTCGGAATTCGATCCCTACTACGGAAACCACCGGAAAAATTGTCAGTACCTTGATTAGGTTACTCTATAGTAACCAATCGTCTTCATACGGTGTAAACTATGATTGGCTCTCACAGCCTGTCCTCAGTTCCACTTAGGTCCGGCTTCATTACGGCGGATCGACGGGGAATAAAACAACACCGCCCTATGTATATACACATGAAATACTTAGGATCATGGTACGCGAGACGGCAAAAGCCATGATCAACATGACGATTTGGTGTAGGTCTATCTTGTCATGAACCTACCGAGACGAATGACGAGTTGAGAAGGTACGGGTGGGGGACAAAGTACCTAAACGTCTCTTACACACACGTGTAGAAACCCGAGTTTTTCCTGTGACAAAGGACAACAAGAAGCAGAAAAGGTTGAACCAGACCCAGGATCGGATATTGCAGACACCTTTCAACCCATAAAAAATCATCCAATGGAGGAACGTGAAGTCACAATCAAAACTTTACGATCTTGACACAGTCGGCCTATAGCCCCCAGGTATCAGCTCCGAATCGACGCGCCGTTGCAGTTATCGCTTTCGACTATCTCTTGCTGCCTGCATACGGATGTCTCATGTAACTCTGTACCATCCGCACAACACCAAGGAGTACGGTCTTGATATGGCATACGCATTTCTCATTGTCGTAGACTGACGTTGATGCAAAGACTCCTGGCACGCGACAGTTTCATTTACACGAACAATGGAGTCAGCAGATGCAAGACATTGTAATTGTGAAGACAGTATGAACCAGGAATCTAGAATTGACCCTCGAGTCGGATTACGTCCGTCTGCACCTTCAAAGGTGCACCTGGCCAAGTCGACAAAGTCTGTCTCTTTGCGATACCATGGTGTTTCTTCTCTCTAGGTATGAATACACATTCCATCATCTCCATCATGAGCGACAACTAGTGTGGTCCTGCATTGTCTGGTGGTCACGACTAACAAATTGTTATGGGATCGCAGAATATCAAGTGCAAATGGAGCTGCATGACCATGCTTACCATGCCATACATCGTATCCTTTTGGTTGTTTCCCCAGACTCATATATGAGTCCCATTGACAGGACTGCGCATGGGTAAACCATAGTGCCAACGGGCGAAGATTCAGAGAAACACACAACCAATACATTCCATTACATTCCATTACAGTAGACGACAAAACAACTCACCTTTTCGCGTGATAACACCTCCCGAATACGCCTATCTAGCTCGGAATATTCGCCATTTCCTGACCTGCCGTCGCCACATCGAGTAGGCTAGAGTTTATCGAACAATATCGGACATCTACGAAAGTATTGTCGGTCCATCTCAGTCGTGCATTTGGTCGGTGTGCTCGTTATAGTCGGCCAGTCAGGGTTTAGTGCTGGTGACCAGAGTACAGCTAGACCACGGGATATACTAGCTGGACTCGGCAACTTCGATGATTGCTCTTCTGATATCTATACGCTTTGCGATTTAGAGAACACGCAGAGATGACGGAATATATCCAAGGCTCTGATGAAAGCCCACTGAACCATATCTGCATCATCTCTGTTCAATATGCTGCAGAACCCTTTACAATACGGCATATTCCTTCGCGTGCTAGCCATCAGTAAACATCGCATGAAAATATGCCATATTCTCCTCTTTTAGAATGTAGAGGGATGCTTCGTACTTTCAGCTCTTCACGCTGCTTGATTGTGTATTCGACAGCTAGAGCAGGATAGGACTTCGTAATGGCGGAGATTGTCTGGGACGCCAATGCTATGGAATGGGTCTATCGATTGGACTACGCCGACTCTTCCATTATGGTTTTCGATATGGCATCCCGCCATGCTTATGATTTCCAACACTTGCACCCAAGAGCAAGTCTCTGTATTCAAGATATCAGGCGTAAAGCATGAATTGTAGATGCGCGGGCGACCATGATGTGTGTGCTCTACAAACTTTGTATACAGTTGCCGGGTCCTTCGACTGCCATGGCCTCCCTCATGCTTCTGATGCAGGTATCGATGACCGTCATATAATACAATCTTTCTTCCACCGCTTTACCAAACCCTATTATCGCTTGCCTCTTTCTTAGCAGCCCCTTTCTTCCTTTGCACGCCCGTCCCTGGTGCCTTGAAGAACAAACTGGGACCATGTCCATCCTCAACCTGATAGCTCAGATACCCCCTGTGCGCCGCATCTCTATAGTATTCGATATCTTTCCTCGACGTTGGATCAGGTAACCTGTATTTGTACGCGGCGATGGAACTGTCTTTCTCCTCAGAAAGCAGGGAGAGGTAAGGGTGGGTTTGGTGCTGTTTTATGCGTCTGATGGAGGGGTTCGTGTAGTAGCGAGTTGTTACTTTGCCGCCGACGGCCTCGACGGCTTCGATTGCGGTTTTGGAGGCGCGGGAGACGACGATGTTTATGGGGGTTTTGAAGGTTTCCTTGTTCTGCGAAATTTTCAGTAAAGGGCCTGTAATTTGCAAAAGGTTGACAGTTGTACTCTTGCAAGGAGCTTCACACCATCTTTGACACCATGTAGACATCTCGACGAAGAGAGTTCCTTGATTGTGATCGGCCTCCTGGGATCAAGACGTCCTTGATCTATCCAGGTCTGTATCTTGTCAAGGTTGACTTTGCTCATATCCAGCGAGAAGCTGCGCACTTCATCAGCGACTGTCGCGTCAAGTCCACGACTCCAATGCAAGTCCAACATACTGGTTCTCAAACCCCCTTGTCCCGCTCACAACAATGTCAGGCGTCTGTCCTCCATTGAACTTATATGGAACCTTTCCATGTTGTTTCTGACCCTTGTGACCTCTTCCTGATGTCTTTCCCTTGCCAGAAGCAGGTCCACGACCTCGTCTTATCCGCTTGTTATATGCTCCGGGAGTGTCGCTGAGGTCTGAGAGGATGGAGGCGAAGCGCTGTTGCTGGGGTGCGATGAATGAGGCAATGAAGGATGTGGACGTTCCGGAGGGTCTGAAGGAACAACTCAGAACGCTGGAGGCCCTTGGGATTGGCATTCGTGGTGGCATTGTTGGTAGTTGAAATTGTTACTCCGTCGGCTTGAGGGTCACATTTGATAAGTGCACGTGACCAGGTTTTTGCACTACTTTTATTTCAAGATAGAAAGATCCAAGAACGGTTAGGAAGGGAAATCAAATCTTCAATTGCCTGATCGCAAGGCACGCGAGACCTTGAAAATCCGCAAAAACAGGATGTAAACGGATGGAAAAGTGCAAACAAGACCACCAAAAATGGCAAAAAAGAAATGTAAGTTATGCTCTCCCGGGTGGGCTCGAACCACCAACCTCTCGATTGACCAATTCATCGAATAACAGTCGAACGCGCTAGCCAATTGCGCCACGGGAGATTACGAACTACTTGGGTGGAGTTTCGGACGTCATGTATTATCACTCTGTACTAGTCTAACCTCATTCGCACAGGGCCCTCTTCGTTATGCCACCCTGCTAGGGTATGCAGATTTTGATCTTGATTGGTCCTCAACTATCAGCTTGTGCCTGAGGATTTTTTACACTTCAGGCAGGGATCAGTCCACATGTTTACAAGTGGCAAACGGCTGGTACTCAGACATCGTTCGGCTTCTCCTCTTTCTTCTAAATGCCTGGCTCCTTACCTTCGTATTGTCGCCTTGATATCTGTCAGCGTCCTCGAGCTCAGAATCTTAATTCTAGACGAACAGAGAAGGAAAATAAGAAAGTCCACAGAAATTGGTCGGCTCTTCACTCCTCCATCCACCTCCTCTCCCTCAAGACAAGTCCTTTCCACTTCCCGTCCTCATTCTAGCGCTCTTAGCCTTCCAATCCTAACCTTCTTTGGTCTTATCTCATAAACCTCACTATGCTCCTCTCTAGCCGCTGAATCTGCATCAAAGCTCAAAGCGTCCAATGCGTGTCCGGCACATTCTTGAACGCATCAATCTGTCTCTCCAAATGTCTCCCATCCCTTGCCATGTCCTGACCCGCGCACTCTTCAGCAAGGGCATGAGTCGTCCTTGCATACACTTCGATTAACCGTCGCCTGTGTGATATCGTAGGGAAGAACTGATATTCGCGGTCGAAACCGGCCCATCAGGAAAATCGCTGCTCGAGTTCGAAAGCTGGGGGCATAGGCGTACAATACTCATAATACATGAAGTCGATTCTGAATCCGGATCCGGCTTCTGGGGTATCGGGGTCATCGATGGGTGTCGGTTCTCTGATGATGATATCTGCGTCGTCCAAATTGCCGTGGATAAAGACATTCTCTTTACCAGAAAAAGACGGGGTGTATTGACGAATCGCTCGCAGAGAGATGATGGCTCGTTATGGAGGAGGAGACTACGTTCTTCTTCTTCTTTAGGGTTTGAAGACAGATAGTCTGGCCAGCGCTGCGTCAGAGTCCGGATTATAGGGAATGGTCGAATGTTGCTTCTATTTGGCTTTGAGATGTGTAGTTTTGCGTGGCGTTCGCTGGACTTGGATAGGAGGGCGGAAAGTGGCCAACGGCTGTGCCATTGGCCTGGTTCTTTTGCAATGGCGCGATCTACATTTTGTTTTAAGAATGTCTTCTGCTTGATAGGTCGTCTCTGGAAAGCAGCTGTATAGCAATTCATTCTCGGATTGTGCTATGAACTCCGGTGTCAATACTGAATGATATGCGAGTGGCGAATTGCATGACGTCTACTCAATAACGGCACCTACCATATTCTGATAATTGACTGTGAGATTTGGTCTCATTCTTCAAATCGGTGAAAGATTCTGTGCCTACTCCATTAAGCCTTACCAATATTGCATTTGCTTCGATTCCGGCCTTGCTCTTTCCCGGAACATCTCTGTTGGCCTCCAATACCGTAATTCGTCCGCCCTTGGGTGGATTGCTTCAGCCTAATTTGGTTTTTGCTCTCTTGTCAACTCGCACGGTAGGCAGTAAGCATATCGAGAGCAAACGCTTGGCCAAAAGATTTAGATTAATATGTAGATGAAGATCTTGGCTGTGCGAGGCTGCCGTTGGGCAAACCATGCGCTCTGGAGCAAATACCGTCGATCGATTTTCAACAAATCTTCAACCGTCGCTGAAAATTGGTTGAGCCGGATCTCAGAACTAAAAACCCCAAAACGGATGGCCTTCTCAACAACTTGGACGATGGTAGGAAGAAAACGAAAACTTTCAGGCCAAAGGGTCTTACTTGAGACCGAAAACACCAAATCGTGATTGGGATATTCCCTTTCCTCAATTGATGCTCCAATTTCGTTGAGGTACCAAGTTCAATACTTTGAAGAGAGCGCAATGTGGCTAGCATGAGACTCTTCCTGCGATCTCTGCCATTCTTTCTCCACGGCTGCCACAACATCATACGAATAACACCAGTCTCTGATTTGCTTATCAGCAATGCCATAGGACATTTTATGTTTGTAGAAATGCTCATCTTTCAGAAGGCCAATCGAAGCCCCGTCGGATGCTAGGGCCGAATTTCGGATGTCTTGAGCCGTGCCTGGTGACAATTGTAAAATGTACCCGGCGTGAAGACTTGCTGCTGATACAGCTTCAGCACGCGGCTTGCGAACGGCCTCGAAGATAGACATGGCTTGCTGCAGATTAGTATTGCGCCCATCCATCAACTCTAGACACGCTGTCAAAGACTCAGCATCCTCTACTGCTAATGAGACTCCCATTGACAAGTAGAAGGCCATGGCATGCGCAGCCTGTCAAAAAATCTTAGCTCTATACGGAATGTTGCACTGAATCGACGTACATCTCCCACAAGAACAAACCGTCCGGAATTCGATTTCCAAGCTGGCAGCGGTTTGACCTGCAGCACAGGCCAGTTCTGAGGGAAGGGTTCTGTCATATCCAATAACGCAGACACCGCAGGATCCCAGTGCGAAAAGAGTCTCTTAAACTCTGCCGCGTATTGTTCCGAAGTCCAACCAGCAGCGTCAACATCGTCGGGGTGCGAGAGAACTAGATTAAGCACCGAACTATTTTTGACCAAGTAAGACATGAAGCAGTGCTGGTCTCCGACCCAACAATTACAACCATGCCGATCGACAACATGTGCTGTTATAGGGTTTGCCTTGATCCTGTCGACAGGTACCACGACCCGATAGGCAGCCCATCCAGTCTTTTCTAGTCCATCTTCAAGCTCTGGGAGAAATGTCTTGCGAGCCATGGAATTTATGCCATCAGCAGCAACCACGAGATCTGCCTCAAGCCGTTCTCCATTTGCCAAGTGTACAACACCGCCATCGAAGTCATAGTGAATGACTCGGCTCCCCAATCGAATCTCAGCACCGGCTCTTACGGTATGTTTGTGTAGGATCCGATGTATTTCAGCTCGATGTATGGTCACGTACGGAGCTCCGTATTGTTCCTTAAAAGGCGCAAACGGCACCTTTCCCAGGAGCTCGCCATCACTATCTCGCAAAACGTTAAAGGACTCAGGCAGGGCAGAGCTTGCGGTGATATCGGAAGCCAGTCCCCATTTCCAGAAGGATCTCGTCGCACAAGGTGTCATCTGCACGCCAGCTCCAATCTCGGCAAGAGCAGATGCGGATTCCAAAACGATGACCCTATGGCCGGCCAGAGAGAGGGACAGCGCGTGTGAGAGGCCGCCAATGCCTGCTCCCACGATGATGATTTCCATTTGGATGGTGAAAGCTGATCGAAGGCATGAAGACGAGTTGTTAAATTGCTACGAGTGACGTTGTTCATCCTCCACCTCCGCCAAGTTTTCACAATGTCTCACCAGGGATCCAACGAGCGAGATCGCAATGTCTACGAGTCTGCCTCGGCGGCGTCTGCCATGGCAGGATGGCGATGAGGATAAAGAGATGAGGTTCCATTAAGGCGCGAGAAGAATGCCATTGGCTGAAGCGCTGTGACCGCTGCCACGTGCCGTTCTTCGCTAGCCCCTTTTTGTCCTTCCAAGCTTGTCACCGGTTTCCAATCCCCACAGTCCGTCGTCAATATCAACATCAGCATCAGCTTTATTCAAGTCTACTTCCTTCAGAACTTCTCTTTTCTGACCACTGCCATAGAGTCGGAAACACATGACCGCCTCCTGCTACTACGAATAGACTGGATACTAGAAGGACCATAATTCTCATACGCGCCACCCGGCTATTTCTCAAACAAAGTTTCGTGGCTTCTTACTACTCTACGCCCGGTACCTCTTCAGATACACGAAGTTAATGCTCGTCATCCGAACATGAGCTTGTGAATATTTCATCTGTATTGCAACTACTTACGTTTGTCATCGCACCAACACTCGGTCTGGGCAATGGATAATTTTAACAGCAGCTGTGGTCTAGAGTGCAAAATCCATCATCAAAGAAAGCGCGCAGTGTGGATGAAGAAGAAACATGATTATCTCACTCAATGTTACTAAGTTCTCAGCCGAGCAGCATTCGACGCTCCTCTACGTCCGGAAACCTCTCCACTTTACTTGATAATCTCGATCACTACCGTCCCTGAATCCCAAAGTAGGACATTCAACTCACCACAACCACGTCTATGGCTGCATCTCGAAGCATCACATTGAGCGGTTTCATTTCACTTCTCACGTGGCACGACACTTCGATAACATGGCAAAACAGACTATCCCATGCACATCAATTAGAAGCTGCACGCATACACGTGTGCATGTTCCCCTATATATGTTCAGGTACCTCTCCTCGATGTGATCCTCAATCCAGCTCTCTCCTATTGCATCTCAACACTCTCCCTCGTCCGCAAATACCAGATTTCTTCATTTCAAGATTCAGCTCGTCAAATTTTTCTCAACTAGTCGCGGAGCCCACGCCTGTACCAACATGCATTTCTCCACCCTCGTATTCGTCGCTCTGGCATCGGCTCTCCCGCAACGTGGATGTAAGAATCTGTCATGCCATCGCGACTGCACTTAAGCTAAAAATGGTGTTTTAGTCGGTAATGGAGACCTGCCCAGTTTAGGAAATACCATCGGTGATGTCGCAACAGGTCTTACCACTGGTGTCGGTAAGCTACTTGTCCTGTTTGAGGAGATTCTTCTGCAGATTACTGATCGACTATCTAGGAAGTGGCGTCGGGGGTGCCATCGGAGGTGGCATTGGAGGCTTGGTCGGAGGAACCGTAAATGGCCTCCTCGGCGGTTTGACTGGTGGGGTCTTCAGGAGAGCAGACATGCCGACGGAGAGGGACTAGATATTGTCGGGACGATCGAAGCTTCTAAACGATGGTATGATCGCATTTGTATCGTACGATCTCACTTTTTGCAATGCGTTGGATGAATTAAGATTTTTGGGGCATTACTCAAGCCAACAATTACTACTTCGCCTCCAAAGCTCATGCATTCATCTTAGAAAGCTCTAACCGTCCCGTCACTATTGCAAG